AATGCATACCTAGATGAAAGCAGCAGAGCCCTGAAGCCCCGACTCACTGGTGATGAGCCCACCGGATGAGGACCGCTCAGGGTCATGACCCGTGCCCCCTCGTATCGATCGAGGGAGGAGCCGACCGGCGATTCCCGATCGGCCCATGAATGGCCGTGACCGCTAGCTCATGGCGAACCCCCTGGAGCAACTGACGGGGCATCTCTCCATTGTGGGTCATGCGCACATGCCAACCCCAAAGATGTGGGGTACGAGCATGATCCTCCGACCGGCCGGCATGCCCCGCCATGCTTGGAGCAGGGGTGTGAACCAACGATGCCTCAAAGGCGCGGCGACCGCGCCCACTTCCCCTCTCGCTAGACGGCGGTGTCTTCGCTCGTGGCACGCTTCCTCGATTTAGGAACGTCGTCGTGCTTCTCCGCATCCCGCCCACCGCCGATGGACGTGGCCGTAGGCTCACGACGCTCCACCGAGGTCGTGGCGATGCCCCTGTCTCCTTCATCATTGGAGGTACTCGTGTCACCACCCATCTCCGTAGGCTCCTCTGACTCGAGCTCTGCCTCCATGTCGCTCCGGCTTTCACCTCCTCGGGCCCGCCAACCGATCTCCTTCTCCTTCTCGAAACCGCCTCTGGGCCTTCTCAGCTCTCTTCTTCTTCTTAGCAAGCGCTGCCTCCTTTAAGGAAGCTTGTCGAGCTACGCCCACTAGCCCCCTCAAAAGATGCGGTCGGGATTTGTAACCCACGAGTCCCTACGAAATGGACGACTCGAAATCAAAATAAAGGAGAGCAAGAGGGAAAAGGACATGGAATAAGAAGAGGGGAGCATACCAGATTGGATAGCTTTATAGCGTGAAGAGGTCCAACATTCCTTCAAGGGAATCTTTATCCCACAGTTGCAGCACCCGGTCGAGTCAAGTCCAGACTTCGTCCTTTGGCAACTCCTCGCGATGCTGCAGTCGGGATCCGTTGGGCTGAAGTATGCCCACATCGGCCGCCTCCTCTCCGCTAGTGGGGCGACTTGATGGCGAAAGAAGATGTGGAAGACCCATAGCCCATTGAGGTCGTGCTGCACCAGCTTCTAAAGCTCCACCTCGATGACCTCCAGCTTGTTCTACCGACTAGAGGGACCCCACGACCAGCTCTCTCGCCTTCTAGCCTTCTTCCGGTGAACGGCGGGAATGGCACCTTCACTGGGTTCCTGATGTAGAACCACTCACCATGCCACCCCGATTGGAGTCGCAGGGGGAGTACGCGGGTAGGAGCCCGATGGTCTCGGCTTCTTCTGCAAAGCGAAGCCCCCAACCGCCATGGTTCTGGGTGGCTTCCCCTTAGACAAAGCTCGCATGGTGAAGATCCACCGAAAGAGATCCATGTGCGGCTCCATCCCGAGGAAGGCCTCGCAAATGGTGATGAAACCGGCAATGTGCAGCACCCTAGTCGGATTGAGGTGCTGTAGCTCCAGGCCCCACTCGTTGAGGAGCCCGCGCAAGAACCAGTGCGCGGGATATCCAAGCCCGCGCTTGTGGAAGGCAAGGAAGGAGACAATCTTGTCGGCCCATGGCCACGGAATAGCTTCCCCTAGCATAGGAGCCCTCCAATGCACCACCTCCTTCGGTGGGAGTAGCCCCTTCTCGACGAAGGCGGCCAGCACCTCCTCGTCTACGTTGGATGGCCTCCAGTTCGACATCATGCCCGGGATTCACGAACGAATCTGTGAGTTCTCCTCTCCCTCGCTTTACCCTCTCTCTCCCCTAGAAAGCACCATGGCGCACGAACGGGCTTGGCGAAAAGGAAGAAGGAGGAGAGGCAGCAGTTGGAGAAAGGCGAAGGAATGGGACGAAAACCCTCTTCCTTCCCCTATTTAATGCGGATAGGCACGCGGTGGGACGCGCCCTGCCCAACAAAACATCGCCTGGTTAAAACGGGACATGGCCTAGGTAGGGCCCACCACTACCACAACCCAAGCATAGGAAACAAGGCGCAACCGCATGCAAACGACCCTCCGCCTTCCCAGGCAGGGTTTGGAAGGGCCCACCAATAGGATTTCCGTCGAGGAAAGACCAACGGGCTACTTGAGTCGATCGGACGGCTTAGGCGACTACCGAGAGACAGGCAAGGAGCAGTGGGATGCCCCATGCGGGCTATGCTGACTCCATCACGAATGATGGACATGGATCCCATTCGGACATATCCGATAAGAGCTCCTCAAACCCGTCACTTGAGTCATCAAGGTATCTTTACCAAACCTTCTTACTTTATTTTATTTTCTAATGTATAATCATTCTTTCATCCTTCCTCATACATGCATTCACACATTCATCCCATACATCCAAACCATTGCATATGCAATTAATGCATCACAACGCTTCGTGTTGCGTCACGAAGCGATAGTCGCCTCATTCAACATGAGCGACGACCGACCGGGGTTCGAAGGCCAGCCCGCGAAGGGCTCGAGGTGGCCTCACATCAAACAGAGCCAGAGGAGAAAACATAGATGAGCCCCAGTGGCCCTCACCTGATCTACTCAGAAGCAGACAGGGTCATCTCGACCTTCTTGTTCGATCCTAACCTCGAGCCATGCCCACAGAATCTCCATCGAGGGGAGGCCAGTGGGCCACCTAAGTCGGTCTCTGGAATGACTCAGGCATCTGCCGAGAGGTGGGTTAAGGAGCAGTGGAATGCCATATGAGGGCTATACCGACCCTGTTATGAACAACGGACCCGGATTCCACTCGGACGTACCCGTTAGAGAGCTCACCGAGCGCGTCACTCGAGCCATCGAGGCAAGCGATGTTAGCTCAGCCCCTCCGGTTGTGAAAACCACGGATGGGGTAATGCACGAAACTAGACCAACCCCTCGGCCACGCCCAACACTTGGGTCAGCGCTCCATCGTGCCCGACCCCCTGGCCACGCCCGATGTTTGGGTTGGCGCCGGACGCCAGGGTCCGCGCTCTCAGAAACGATGGCTCAGAACGTTGGCAAGTCAAAAAATCCCCCAGGTGATTTCTAGGACCACCAAGGCCACACCCCATGCTGGGCTCCGCCTCGTCCGACTCCTGAATGATAGCTCCGCCTCAACCGATGTCTGAAGGCTGGCCCCGCTTCGCCCGATCCCTCAGACATGGTTCCTAATGGAAGCTCATGCCACCGCCAACCACTACGGGCCAGAAAGTACAATCCCAAGTCAAACTTCTGGCATCGTGCAGGGAGCGATCGCGTCTCAGCACGACCCGTCTCCGCGACATGATGTTCCAGGGGACTCACTTCGACCCACAGTGACGGACGCATGGTCACTATGCTGCCTACACCCTATACGACCGCTGATCAGCATGCTGGTTCGTCGGTCCGACGCCTGGGTCCGTGCTCCGTCGCGCCCGACGGCGACTCACGATCTTACACCCATCCGTTGCTCTCGTACAACGAGTATAAACAACCCCTTCACGACTTCGCAGAAGTACCAAAAGGGCTCGGGGGCACGTGTCGGGTTCATAAACCCAGGGTCCCCGATGGGCTTGCTTCCCAGTAAAAGCTCGGTCCAGCAGACGACATTATGACAGGCTGGCAGAGCGATCCAATCTCCGACCGAAAGGCCTAGCCAAAGAGGGGACGACGCTCGCTTCCGATTCTAACCCGCTTTTCCAACCGGGAATACGTCGAACCTCTACTTATAGCTCTTCTCCGACCGACGCGGTCGGAGCCGACTGGGAACGACCGACTGGGGACGCCTGCTCGGTGAGGACCCAAGAATCAGGCAGAGTAGATAAGGCAAGACACTCAAGTCAACCGTAATACCGAGGACCGTACCCTGCCCACCTACAGGGCAGTGCCGCCAGGCCATACCAGAAGGGTGCTTTGCAACCTTCCAGGCATGTCAGAACCTAAACAGTGTTGTGGGCGCCGACATTTGCTTTACAGTGTTGTAGGCGCCATCATTTGCCATACCAGGCGAACACAGTAAAGCCTGTCACATGCGTCTGCCATAAACAGTATTATGGGCGCCGATGACCGTCTTGTACCCGACAACATGGGCAACAAGACTTAGTTGCACACGTGCAAACTCTCTCTCACTTGTAAGGCCATCCCCTTCACCTATAAAAGAGGATGCGCTCCCTCTCAACGGAGGACGGTCATTCCGACTCTCTCTCTCGCTTAGCTTAGACATTCAGAGCACTCGAACAACTCCACAGCTTCATAGCTCTAAAGCTAAACAGAGCATATACGTTCTAATACTTAGCGCACGTTGGAGCTCCCGTCACTCTTGGCCCTTCGGTTCAGAGCCCGATCGGACCTTTAACACCCCTTACTATTCTCACTCGTTTGTAACCCCACAACAAACTTTGAGCAACTGGGCTTAGGAATAAAGTCACCGACCGACTGGAAGACGTAGGGCACGTTGCCTGAACCAGTATAAACCCTATGTCATTGAGTGCTAGGCCACATCGGATCACAACGCACGGCAAAACTATAAATATTTACTTGTTGGTCACTTTTCACACCGACAATACTACTCCGTACCAAAAAGAATGCAATTATAGAAAACGTGTCGGTCAAACTAGCTCAAATTAGACCAGGTTTATAGTATTAGCATTTATGTCTCTAAATAAATTTATTATGAAAATACATTCTATAACTAATCTAATAATACTCATTTTATTTCACAAGTGTTAGTACAATTTTATATTATTTTAGTCAAAGTTTAACCTGTTTGGCTCCTTAAAATACGAGAATTGCATTCTCTGTGAATGGAGGGAGCTTGTGATATGATATATAAAGAGTATAGCTCGAAGATTGTTCAGACTTGAGAAATGATCATTTGTGCTGTCCTCTTCTCGGACAACCCGGATTCATTCTTTTCGTTTTACTATACAACTACTAGCATATATACGTATATACGCGGAGTTATAAAAAGGCAAAACTGCACCGACATGAATGGTGAATGGATGTCACTATTCGTCCTACGGCTCGTCTCTACGCGATCATAGGTGAGCGACAGCTTACCCGTTCTTGGTGACGACGTCGCGGGTGTACCTGACCTCCTTGTTGCACCCGGTGCAGAGCTCCTCGAGGGTGCACTCCACCCTGCGCTCCAGCGGCGGCGCCTTGCGCACCACGTAGCTGGAGAACTCAGCGAACGCGCGCCGGCCCCGGCCGCCGCCGCCGACGTTGCTGCAGGCGCTGTACACCTTCTTGACGACCGGCTCCTCCCGCGCCGGCGTGCAGGCGGGCGCGCCGCCGGCCTTCTCGCTCCGTGCCGCCCTGCTGCCTGACACCGCGGTGGCGGCGTCGTCCTCACCGCCGCCGCCACGGTCGTCCTTGTCAGCGGGCCCGCTCCTCCCGCCGTCGCGCGCGGCGAACGCCGCCCTGTTCTCCTGCTGGTCCAGCAGCGCCTGCATGCACGCGAAAGCCATAGACGGTACACGATACAATCAGCACAGCGCCACCGTGCACGCAGCAAGAACTACTGGCGCCATGAACGGACGGACCTCGTAGGCCTCGGTGATGGCCTTGAACCGGGCCTCCGCCTCTGGCCTGGACTCCGGCGGGTGCTTGTCGGGGTGCCATTGGCGGACCAGGCTCCTGTACGCCGCCCTGACCCCCTGCGGGGAGGCGTCCCTGGCGACGTGCAGGATCTCGTAGTACAGCTCCGGTGTCTTGTTCCCCATTGGCCGGCCGCCGGGCTCTGTAGCCTCGCCGCTCGCCAGAGGCCGAGGCCAAGAAAGACGGGCGTACGAGACGGATGGACGAGCAGCAGAGGACAGAGAGTGAGCGAGCGAGTGTGTGTGAGGATTCAGGAGGTGCGGTAGCCTGTCACTGCTATAACGGGGCAGCGAGCTGAGGGGGTAGTGGATCGAGAGATATGGGAAGGACGAAGGTGGAAAGGAACGCGCGGGGCTGATCGATCGGCGGTTGGTGCGAGCGAGGCACAAGTGGCTGTGCGACGTGTAGGGCAACAAGGGGCCACGAGGGACATGGATGATGACATGCATGCCTTGTCGGAACGTGCGGAGGGCTCCCGCCAATGCGCCATTGCCATTCGCCATGCATCAGGTGGGTGAGCGAGCGAGCGAGAGGTCGGGGAAGAGAGCAGCCCTGCAAATGTTCTTTGGCAAATGGCAAGGATTGGTTGGGAGACATTACTCTGGGCGTGGCGAGGCAGAGCAGTGAGGGCCCTGCATCATGCATGTGTCCAACCTGCCATGCATGCATGGTGGAAATGACCGGACCAGTCACTGGCTCACTGCGCGCTGTGGCTTCTGATGAGTAGCTCTGACTTGCCTGTATTCACATCGATCGTCACCATACAAGATCTACTACTACTACAAGTTGAGAGGTCATTCAGATTCAGATCGAAAGGGAAGATGATCGATTTTGAGCGTCACCGTCAGATTGATGCAGCCGATTACTACTCCGCTCGTGTGGTTTGTCAAGTTAATTAACCCCGGCCATGAGATGCATGCACGTTTACCTGCCGTAGCTAGCACCGTACTGTACGTGCGAAAACGTACAGTTCCGGACGCTGTACTTGTCAGGTGCGTGCGAGCCGGCACCTGGCAGCCGGAGCAGGACTGCAGCAACCAGGGACGAAGCCAGAAAAAAATTTAGGGAAAGCTGAATAAAAGAATGGAGACTTTTTTATCTTCTCTTAACCTTAACCTCTCCTACCTAATACATATATGTATAAAATTTTAAGAGACGGCTTAAGAGGACTCCACGTGCCCAGAATGGATAGGGGGGCTAGAGCCCCCCTAGCCCCACCGCTGGCTCCGTGCATGGCGGCAACTGAACCAGCTAGCACAATGGCGTGCCTAGCAGTTAACGATGGAGCCACGGCCCCCGCCAGCTGGGCCGTCGGTCGTGGTCATACGGCTATGATTATTTTCAGCCATCTAGTATTCTGTCTGCTGCGTGCAGAAATGCTAATCTCGTACTGTACACTTTCTGCGTCAATCGTCAGGCCAAGCATTTCTGAATCACCAGATTATGGCCCCCGTGTTTTTTTTTGTTCTCACTCATCCATTGGATTGTCGGCAGAAGGTGAAAATTCTGAACCGAAATGCAGCCGAACAAAAACACTCGTACACTTGCGTACGGCGGCAGTGCTGCTCGCTCGTTGCGTCGATTAATCAGCGGCAGCTTTTCCTCGGATCCAAGTCACCCAGTCCAGTCCAGACACACGGTTCGCGTAGAATATACCGTGTGCTGCTGCTGTACGCTCTGTAACTTCTGGCAAGATCCAAGCACGCATGTGTGCATGTCGAAAGCGAGGGTACAGGAGGAGCGGAAATGAGTCTCCTGAAATGATTATTACTCATTACCATCTAAATCTCTGGCGATCCGTGTACCGAGTAGGACAATTACTCGCATCTTTTACAGCTCCATCCATAAGTTACTGCTCTCTGAAAATCCTTGCAGCATTTTATTGAACATTACTCTAGAGAAATGGGATGTCGGAGTCACGGAGAGCAAAGAAGATAGAGACAACTGTGCAAGGGCCAAGAGAGTAGAACTGCTTGCTTGTAGGTAGGGGGTCACTTCAGCCCCCACACAAGAATGTGAAAAATCTAAACGGGCTTAAAGAAAGACAAAAAAATACTTGAGAAATGAAGATTTATGTATAGGATTCTTGATCCAGATCCGTGAGGTATTTTCAGCTTACACGTCACGAACTTATCTCCCTGGAGCCAATGCGGCCACACAACATGTGGGAAAAAAAATAGTTGCAGTCACAAAAAGGATGCTACTACCCCACAGGCCACAGGAAGCAGATGACACGTTTGTACATCAGGCAGTGTCCAAGTTGTAAATCTTTTACATGTGCTACATCTTCAGTCTCTGAATTTCCCAATCATTGCACCTAGTTTCTGTGTTTTCGGTGTGCAAAGGTGAGGATATGGTTCTTTAAAGAAATGCTGATATTTATCAACTTGTCCTTCATATAAACGTATCCATATCCCAATGGATAGCATTGCTATAGCAACGGCTAGTTAAAATATTGTCACCTGATAATGATTTCCAGGTCAGCGAGACCCAGCTTAGATGCGAGGAATCAGGAGTGTGATGACTATTTTTGCTAGGCGCTCCTGCAGTCACAATCATATAAAGCACCATCATCAGCTCACAATCAGTTAAATAAATTGAAGTAGGTATCAGGTTAATGATTTCCTTTACATAAGGCAGGCAACTCACATTTTTGGTTGAGTCTCGTGGAATTAAAGAATCTTTCTTGAATTTGTTTCTTTTTCCATATTGAAGGATGGTAATTAAATTAGGTTTTTAGAAGATACATGATTGGATAATCATAAATTTAAAACTTAATACCCAACACTATATAATATTGTACGTAGCAAACAAACAAAGGTTGCGCAGATGTTCTAAGCACAATATCTCTTAATGTTGCTTTTAGTAGAGCATTAGCGTGGTTGACAAACTGATTGGCATGATGTATTTGTTTCGCACTTGCAAAGCTTGCAACAAGGTCATCATGTATTTGTTTTGCACTTGCACAAGAGTGGTATTTTCTTCGTATACTCTATGTATAAATTCGTTGTCAGTAACGGAATAAAAGTTTCATAGACAGTTTGGCGACTACAGATAACCACTAAAGTTAAAAAAACTTTATTTGGTTATTTAAAAAGGGATCGTTCCCACAAAAAGATAATTTGCCAAAAAAGAGGAATGGATACACGACTTGCTAATTCTGCATTCATCCATAAACCATCCAGTATCTTCTTTGAGTGCACTTATGCTAAGTTTCTGCGAAAGGTTGTTAATATGGTACTAGAAATTAAACCTCCCTTAAATGTCCATAACTTATTTGATGATTGATATCCTATGAAAGATGAAACATTTAGATCATTTTTAGTTTTTTTACTGACACGTGCATGCAATGACGATTTGTTAGTCTATTTGACTAGCATGAAATGAAATTGTTTTTGGCACATGTCGACCCAAAATTTTGTGCGGGTACTATTATGGGACATATGCAATGATGTGAGCCTAGGAGTTTGTGTCAGAGACATGCTGCAAGATAGAGATTGTGACTATATGAGATTTTATTTCTAGAATTGAGTTATGAGTCGTGTTTGCATGTAAACTTAAGGTGGTTGTCTAGTGCGAGTTTGTAATAAGTTAATCTAATTTCTAAAAGGGACAACTATATTTTCTTTCTACTCTATCCGTTCTAAATTATAAATCATTCCGACTTTTGCTAAGTGCCTATGTATTTGAAGCCTGAATACCGTATAATTTGGGATGGAGGTAGTAGTACCTAAAAAACATTTCCTTTATGCTTACTGATTTGGCCTCTTCGCCCTCGATGCCGATATTTTGCCATCAGCGAGCGACTTGATGTAACATGAAAGATACTACCTCTGAGAATGAATGGCTCGGAGACATCATATTTGACTCCGAATCACCAGATTAAGGCCATTTGTTGTCATTCGCTGGAGTGTCGGCAGAAGGCGCAAATTCTAAAGGAAAATATGCAGCAAAAATCAATAAAAATTTTGAGATATCATCACGAACAACGGGCAGAAAGTTTTAGGTAGCTTATAGTGATGAGCCATAGGTAAGGTACGCAGGTAGCCCTTTTCTCAGGGCAGTTTTTTTTGTCCTCATCCTCCTATGTTAGATTTTTTTAATAATTTTTAATGATTAATTGTAGATAAGGTTGGTAAGTTCTAGAAATTGCAAATATAGCATCCAGTAGGCGGCTCAACGCAGATAGGGTTCTATTAGGAGCTCAATTGGCGATAAGCTGACATGGTAGCAGGCTAAAAGCCGGTAGTAGTTCTCAGCATTAATGGGCAAATAGATTGTCAGACTAGGCCCGGTTCGTTTCGCTGAAATTTGGCTTATGCTGATGCTTATGTTGATTTGTTGTGAGAAGAAAACATTGTTCGTTCGCTGAAAAATACTGCTGAAGTAGTTCAAGCGAACAGGGCCGCCATTTGCCACTCTACACGACTAGTCGACTACACTATGTTGATGGTTCGTCATTTAATGTTTGGTTTTGGGACCAAAGTAGGATGGGATGAATCCATTCTATTTTTTTAGGTTACGATGATCCAATTTCCCATTTTTATTGTGAGGAGACAGAGCAATCCCTCGTTTCCATTTGGGTCCAGGATAGTAAACTAAGGACAGGCCACTAATAGGTAGGACCTATCCGTCTGTCTTCCCTCTTCTATTTCATCCCTCATCCTATAGCCAGACACACCACATTGAGGGTCACGCCTTCTCCTTCCGATGGCCCGGTTGTGCCCCTCCTCTACACTGTAGCTTGAACTCGCTCTAGCTGCATTGGGAGTTCAAGCTCGCCCATGCATCGCCAGGTTCACTTACTTCGTGCCATGGTGTCACCAAGCATAGGGCATCCACATCGCCGCCAAGCTCACCCCCGTGTGTCACTGTCGAGTTCGCTTGTGCCATGTTGTGCCACTTTGTGGCAGAACCTCCTAAATTATAGGGCCCACATGCACCTGTCATTGTCCAATGACTTCTGACGACTATGCATATGTTTCCGGTAACTTAAGAAGTCTGTCGGGTGTCCTCGAGAAACCCGAATCATCCATGATTTTTTCGAGAAGGGTCCATTACAGAGTCATTGCAGTATTACAACAATTTATTCAATATTTTACATCAGAGTAAAGTAGCGGAAGTC